TTATTTGTTCAAGGGGGGATTGTAGACAGAGGTGCTTGTCACCTGTTCATCCCTTCCTTTTCACTGCTGTCCGTTGTGTTTTCCTATTGTATATGTCATCTCTGTGTAGTGATGTAAGCGTAATAAATAAATAAATAAAATTAAATAAATTCTCTAATCACAGACAGGAACTATACTTGCATTGCATTTTATATGTTCTGGGGGGGTTAATTTGGTGACTTTTTTTGTAATTTAATATCCTATACCTTCCTAACACAAATAAACAACAGCCAACAGGTGATCCATCGTCTGTTTTTTAGTTAAAATCAATATTCATATATTCATAAATTTTTCGGCAAATTATTGTTGATTGGACCTATGCCCACCCGGCCAACCGTGTGCAGCTGCCAGGGGATTTTTCCTAAATTAAATATTGAACTATCATGTTTGGTTGTTATATTAATGCTACCTTGTAAATTATGTATCAAGTTGCCAATATAATCTAAAATTTTAGATTTCTCATTTCCAAGATACAGTGTACTGTACATGTTGGAATGCATCTATTTATTTTTTCTTTCACTTATTAATTACTGTATTATAAATAACACATGCATATCCAATATCAAATACTTACTGTGAACTCACAGCCAACCATTCGAAATTTGCAACATCTTTTACGCCGAGGGCAGTCTCCATTTTCTGGATCTTGGTGTAACTTCATCTTTGGATGTAAAAAAAATGTAATGAGATCATTATAAACTACAAACAAGAGAATTAGCAGGCGTCAATATTCCAAAAATAGTGATGTTACATGACTTACATTGAAAATGTACTTGTTTTAATATTAAAATATTTATTTTTGTATTTAAGAATTGTTTACATGCCTTATGTCCTTTCTAATGAGTCATTGGAATGGACAAGGCAAGTAAACATGAAACATAGCCTACGAAATTAGCACAAAAAGAAGTAAATTAGACTCAATTCCAGTACACGTCAGCAGTTCTTTCCCTACCCTACTGTACAGATAGGCGAACCACCTTGTAGGCTGGGTGGTCCAGTCAAAGAGAACACAATTTGGACTGGCCACCTAGGCCTATGTGGTTAGTTGGTTATTTGTTAACATCACAAAAGTAAGAACTGACCATGTGTATGGAATTGAGTTTAATTGTCTTTTAGTCCTATTTTCATTGTTTATGACATTTTATTATTACACTTAATTCATACTCATTTTTTAATAGGACATACAATTGAGTAATACAGTACTTTACAATTGTTCAAACCACTAACTGACCAGAACATTTAAGAACTTTATGTTTCCATTTTTGTTTAACCTCGGCGCAATGTAAAACAAAATGTAGGAACAATTTTTCCTAACGCATGCACAATTTAACTTTTAATGTCCACACATATACACAAGAGGGTGATTACAAGAGTACAGTACTGTTCAGTCATCTAAAACCATTACTCGAGGTCATATCGCAAGTAAACTTTGTGTCAATTTTGAGGCCTGATATTCCATGAGTGGTTGTTTACTTAACATAAGCAGTTTTATTCATGAGCTGGTTGCTATAAAATATGGAACCACATAAATCGAGAACTGATTATTAATTGTTCATAGTTAAACATTTGTTAGTGTAGTACATTGTAATATATGCAATCCTGTATGATGTTGGAGAATGGAATTTTTGTATGCCGAAAAAACTGGGTCATGTCAGATGCTCTGTAGACAGGGCTTAATGGTACAGTATTTATATGATGTTTTGTTTGTAAAAGACCAGTGAATAAACTCTGATAATTAATCAGTAAGCAATGGGTTTTTCTGCACTATGACGACCACATCATTCTATATTTTATTTATAACCACTACAAACGCCATACTCCCTAGCAAGTGGTGAGAAAGTGGTGTTTTTTGTTTTGGTCATTGACAATCCTAATTATTATTTCAAAAGACGTAACAATCTTACAGTAATGTAAAATTCTGACGTTGTTATAGTATATATTTAATGTATAATATAATTTAATGACGTTTTATAAATTTCAAGCATGTTGTTTAATAGTAGAAAACAATTACTATAAATAAACGCAATGGTGTTTCATTAAAATCAAAGAACTTCATTTAGAAGATGCCCTAAGCAGAATGCGTATTTGTATGCAATGCAGTCTACACTAAAGTGAATAAACAGAAATCAGGCGATGAGTTACTCCTATCCCACTAATTATAAGGTAAAATTTGATGATTTTATAGTATATATTTAATGTATAATATAATTTAATGGCCTATATATAATTTGAAGCATTAGACGATTCTTTAATGCCAGTTTTATCTAGAACGATGTAGCTAGCCTTGGGGTATGCTTGCTAGACAAAATGGGCACCCAGGCTAGGCCCACGGAGGTCTACAGTAATACGATATGCGATTTATATCTATGATCTATTTTACGATGTTCAAGTTTTTAAAACCATTGTTTTTAATTAATCAGAGATTGATATACTATAAACTATTCCTCAGTTGTTTAACCAGTGAGTTTCTACATACTCGTGAATAACTATCTCGTAGTGACTCGCTGATTAAAAAACTGGCAGTCAACAGACATTTTACTCAATGCCGTAATGTATGATTGAACATTGGACTCTTCCTAATTACTTATTCATTAGCTTATGAAATGCGAGTCACTCGCAAACCACTTGCATGTAAAATGCGAGCAGAAAGTTATAAACATTCGAACAGTACTGTATAAAAGTAGGCTTGTAATAATTATAAACAAATAATTTAGATAAGTGAAATTTAGAATGACAACTGGTACAGTACTATTGAAACAATAGAGAATGAACAAACCTCTTCTCTTGGTAATTTTGACTTCTTGCAAATCTCACAAAGAATCTCCAGCTTAGGGCATACACTATTGTGTTGCTACAAAATAGGACAAGATTTTTACGTGTACTTTTACTAATAAAAATTTGTTCTGTTAGTTGCTTTAATCTTAGAAGTAGATATGATCAAATCATTTATTTAATAGAAATTGACAATAGTGGTATATTCCTTGCATTGCAATGATTTTTTTTAACCCATAGAAGTTTACCAAATACAGTGGAACCTCCATTTTACGTACCAATTTTACGTCTTCTCTGCACTGCAGCAGCGAGAAGGCGCAACTTGGCATCGACCTAGTTATCTAGGCTCTTATGCCACATGGTTTTGTAATATGTACGTGCAGTCCGTACCAGCCGTCAGTCGATAATCCATGCCTGTGCCTTGTATGCTATCCTCAACATTGTAACAGAGTTACGGTGATGTAATCATTTAACGCAGGTAGGCCTAGAGTATTTACAGTCCAAGTAATGAAGTAAACAAAACTTAAACTTCAACTTATTTTGAACACTTTATTATGACATCGTACAGTGTGCAGTTAGTTACACATTATGGATCTTCTGTCCATACATGTTTAACTTTGGCCCCAATAGGCTAGCTTAGCCAAGGCAGAAAAAAAATCAGCATGGCTCATCGCGGCACACTGTTTTTTTGTTGAGGTTCACTATAAGGTCAATACATTTTTACCTAACCTAGGATTTTATGAATCACATGTTTTACGTACACCCTTTGGTCCATACGTAAAATGGAGGTTCCACTTGACAAATCAGATTTAGAGATTTCTAAAAAAATAATACTAGAATAAGTTGATAACAAACCTTCATGGTCTTGTGAACCAACTCGGCATTGCACCAGCGACACGTTATTATACGCTCTGTACAATCACGCAAATAATGATTCTGCAATTCCACACGTTTCATTTGTCGGCCACAGGCTCTGCATGGTACCTTAGAATGGGGGCATATGTCTTGATGGTTCTTGTAATAAACACAAAGAGATAATTTAGATTGTATTTCTGAGCCAATATCCATTGTTTCATAGTATTTGAATAATGTTGAATTGTTAGTTTCATTAAAAAAAAATTTCTTAAGAATACAGTTCTTTGTATATTATATATCTCTGATTCAAAAGGTAATTAGATTTCAGGGGTCCTAGGTCTACCGCATGTCATGCGAGTGTTCCGTAAGACTGTATTATTAAATATCACCCGGATGTCAGTCCTGATAGTATCACAATGCACAGCAAAAAGCAAGATTAGATGTGTTTAGTAAGATCATTTAAACAGATCTCCCGGAAGTGGATTCCAAATTGGGATCAGAGATTTTAAATGAATACACACAACTTTAACTTACAATGATGTATTCATTAAGGTTTCCTTCAAAGGGACAACTTGAATTCAGACATTTCACTTTCAGCAATCGGATCTCTTTTCGTCCAGCAAAATCAGGATAAATCTGTGAGGAAGGTGATACATAATCAAAGAAACCTGTAATGGAGCATATTTTCAACTTATGGGTAATAAGGATACCTGGAGGACATGCATCATGACCCAACAAAGATCAACCTGGTAAGGCAAAGGCAGTTGAACTTGCCTAATTCGAATCCAAAATGGCATAGTCGACTTTGGCAAGTTTAACTGTATTTTCACATTTTGACCTTCCTGAAAATAAATGCTGTAAATAGAGTATACTTTGGCTATGACCAATGTTTGGTTGAAAAAACATAACAATGTACAGTACTTACATTTCTTATATGAGCTTCCTGGCTATCACTAGGACATCTTGGACAAAATTGGGGCTGCGGGTCACTGTTGTATAAAAAGAATGATTTGTAATGTTCATACTACCATCATTACCTGCTAAATAAGAAATGATAAATCCAATATACACATAAACAGTAAGAACGTAAATGCTTGAATAAGCACTGCTCTCGAATAACCGCTGCTCTCGAATAAGTGCCACACCAAACCTGTTTTCTTTTGCTAAGTGTCGCTCTCGAATAAACACTGCACTGAAGCCTCCAAAATTTTAAAATGCTGTGACGCTTATTCGAGTATTTACGGTATGAGGTTTTAATATTTGAAGGAACATATCAACAACATACAGTACAGTAGTCACTATATTTGAGAAAAATAAGAACATTAATACAGTAATTAATTAGTTTACCTTTGCAATTTTTTGGCACAGGAACTGCAAAAGCGATGTCCACATTCATGTTGGACTACATCTCTCAGAATGAGATTACACACACCACAGATAATGCGTTCAGTCAAATCAGACTTGTTCTTCAGAAGCTCACGAGGATAACCTTCTGTTTCATTATCAAATTTTTCTCCATTCATGTTCTAAAACATTAAAATATCAAATTTGAGGTATTTACTGTCTCAGTAGTAAGCTTATAATAATGTTGCAGATATGGACTCGTATTTAGTTTGATTTCATGTCTTGGATTATGCATACATTCATATAAACAATAAATGTTAGACATAACATTATCTACCAAAGAATTATTATTAGAAGAAAAGGCAACAAGAGAGCAGCAGACACAAAATGCAGGAAAGAAATTAACTGGGGGGGGGGGGGAAGGGTGATTTAGTACTTGTTTCATCTAATTTAAACATTGTTAATACATTAGAATATTTTTACAACTTTTAATTTTTTTTTTCCTTTTTACTTTTTTAATAATGATATGAATGAATTTAAATTTCCTCCAAATTGAAAATCATTAAATATAAAAAATATCTGTTATTTGTGTATAAACTTTAAATTAAATATGGTTTGAAATATGAAAAGAATGATATTACAAAACCAGGGCAGCTTTAGGTTAGGGTGATACAAGCTCAGGCGCAGAGATCTTCGCAGATTTTGCAGTGGCAAAAAGTATGGGTGAGAGATAAAAATTTAAAGAATAGGCCTACCATAAATAGCAAACATCTTTTCCAAAATGCTCAGATCATGAGTGTTGGTAGTGGGATTCTCCCCATATTCTCACCCCAAAGGACATACCTAGTGAGATAGTCAGGGTTAATAGTTCTGTACATGCACCCGAGGCTGGCTCCTATTTTCTGCTTTTAGTATTACATATTTGTTCACTGTAGTCTTAAGGGACCATGCTAGGAAGCCTAATGCTGTGTTGCAATGCACCCGTGAAAACTGTGATTTATTTTACAGTAAAATAATGGCTGATTAAACATATAAAATGCTTATATCTTAAAATTAGTAAGTACTACAAGAGAGAAGTTATTAGGCCTTACATTATGAATTTATTGTGTTGTACATCTAAATTTGGTATACAATACATAGTAACTTTATTTGTGAATGCATATTTTCATTTACATTGTAACAGATCATTGGTGTACTGGAAGGCAGTATATGTATACCACCACACGATAGTATACTTGCTCATATCTTGTTTAACTAACCCACCCCCTGCCAATGATTTCAAATAAAAATATTATTTTTAGCCAATTAGCACACCCGCTGCCACGAAAATTAGGGCTGCGAGTCACTGTTATATAAAAACCCCCTGCCAATGATTTCAAATAAAAATAAAATATTACTTTTTGCCAATTAGCACACCTGCTGATACAAAAAATTTGCATATTTAAAAAAAAATAAATGTTTTTCTTTACTGTATTTTTATTATTCTTGCTGCTGCCTTGAAATCTCCAAATATAAGACATGTATATTTCTTCCTAATTATATAAATTTAAAGCATTTAATTATCCAATTACTGTACTACATTGTTTACATTCACCAATAAAACGTTATTTACCGTAAACGCTCGAATAAGTGCTGCGGCACTTATAACATTTTTGGCGGCTTCAGTGCGGCGCTTATTCGAGAGCGGCGCTTATAAACAAATATTGGAGTGGAGCTTTCCTTGCCCATTTCTATGATACCTATTTCACGTTTTCCCGTAGTTAAGTAGGCCTATCATAGGTCCTATCATCGTAAACAAACATTTAAGAAATGCTATTGTCTTCATTGCGTTATTTATTCATTTTAACACTGTATACATTGAATTTAAAACACTGTTTCATTACACGGCAATAATATATACTCTCGAATAAGCACCGCGGCATTTATTAGAGAGCGGCGCTTAATGAAAAAAACAATGTTTGGTGCGGCGCTTATTCGAGAGCGGCGCTTATTCAAGCATTTATGGTAAATTATTTTCTCCTCTGTCTGGATGTTTTTAGCAAAACTATTTGCTAAATAAAAAAAAAAATGTTATTTAGATGTGAACAAAACAAATATTTTTTTTCCTGCCCCCACCCCTTTTCTGATGATATTAAAAAAAATAAGTTGGCGAAACAAGGTATAAAAAGTCTCGCCATTTCTATTTTATTTCTGGTTAAAAAATACGCAGGAATACTGTAACAAGTTTCACACACCACCTTGAAAAATCATTTTTTGTTGACACAGCATAATCCTACATTATATTGTCGGTATAAAAAGGCAATTAAACATGTTTTTATACTACGAACACATAGTTACACATAGGAATTGACATACAGTAAAAAAAAAAAATAATTTTTCTATTTTTATTCAATTTTAAAGTCACTTTTGTCTCTTACTTCGGATGTGTGTGCGAACTAGACAAGAAAGTGAAAAGTGCAGGAACACCACCTCTGCCAGTATAAATGACCTTGAATAGGCCTATGAATTTTCTGTTTACCACTCAATGACGCCACGCTAAACTTTACAAACATTTTGCTTTTTTACATAAAATGAATGGAATAATTACACTACTAGGCTGGGCAAATAATCTTTACTGCAACTTCTGGTATAAACATGTACTGTAGTTCCTCCAATGAAAGACAGACGAATAGATTGAATATATCCCGAAAAATGCGTTTTTCTTTCGTCTAACCAAGGAAGAATAAGGTCTAACTATTAGGCTGACTTGCTGTACTATTTTTGCTTCCATCGCCCTACGCCCTGGTACTTAGCCTAGGCCTACTCTGGTCCTTCCTACGGTTAGACTAGGCCCTAGGCCTAGCCAACGACAGGTCTCTAACTAGTAAATAAATAGGCTTACATAATACAAAACAGACTAGGCTAGGCCTCTAACTAGTAAATAAATAGGCTTACATAATACAAAACAGACTAGGCTAGGCCTATACTGTTATACAAGTCCTAGGCCCTATTTCATTTACTACTGATATCTAGCCTAAGGCTAGGCCTACTTAATTGAGCATAATAATTAACAGTACCACAACGACCGCCGTGCACGAGGTTAGGCCTCACCATGAAATACTTTACACATCAGCGTTGGCGGAGTAATATATGCCGTGGCCTGGTATTTTCAGAAATGGCGGAGTAATATATGCCGTGGCCTGGCTCAATACACATTGCTTTCTCTAACTTCTAACCACCAGTAAACCACTAACAAAGATTTCAAATTTAAACAAATACTAAATTGTCGTCCTCTACGATTATACAGCCACCGCGATTCAAAATTGCAGAAATGTTTGGGTCCGGTATTTTAAAAATTTCAGAAATTTGCCGACAAGGTGTCCGAGCCAAAGGGCTGACGAAGCCTCGGCTGATGGTGGCTCAGAATAAAAACTTCATTGTAGGGTTCACGGGGAGAGTTTGTAAGGATTGCTATGTTCTGAAATGTGCTTTTAGACGACGACAATATTAGGGATAAGTCAAAATGACGTTATTTTGGATACGCAAATTATAATAATAATTTTTTTTTTTAACCGACGACCTAGTGGTGCATTGTAAACCCCCACCCTCCCAACTAAATTTGTCAACATAATTTAAAAAAAAAAAAAGGAAGAAATTCATATTCAAATTTAAGACTCGGGGAGTACCATCTCCGGCCATCAATCTGTGAAAGTCCTTCCTGCATCCTACCTATTTCGAATTCCTAAATCCATCACTGACAGTGGCGGATTCAAGTAGTCCCATGCGTCCTGTCCCCTCTAAATTTTTCAAAATAAAAAGAAATGGGGACTCAAAAGAAAATGATATTCAAAATGTATAAGAGTGCAAATTCCGGCCATTTGGAGGTGCCATAATCATAATTTGTCTTCCCTTAGCCCCAACCATGTGGGGCTGAGGTGGTCCTCCATCTGTGAATTCCCATCCCCTTTTAAAATTCCTGAATCCGCCACTGAAAAACGTTTAATATGAAAATCTTCAGAAATCTATTAAATTAGACCTCAAATCATCAAAAATGTCTGAGATCCGCACCTCGATCCCCGGCAAGATTTTCCCCCCTAGGCGGTGTCACCCTCCCCCGAGCCATTTTGATCTACTCTATAAATTCGTACCCACCCAAAATAAATCCTGCGTACGGGCATGGCATGTACCCCATCCGCCCCAGCACCTGTGCATAACCGGTGTATAGCACAACAATAAGCAATTAGTAGAGCTCCGCATAGTACACTATAGGAAAATTATTATACGAAGGTTCAATTTAATGTTTGAAAACATTTTTGAATGCATTAAATCAAACCTAAATATAATAATTTTCCATTTTAGTGTACGATGCATGCTCTACTAATTGCTTTATAAGTCAATCGCCGTCTTTTAATTTTAGTTTTTTATAACCAACTGTTGTAGCAGTATCGGTTGCTATAATAGTGATATGATCAGTATACGTGTGCGTATTTACCCACTTAGTGGACGCTTGGCTGATTTTTTTTTTAGGTTCGTTTGCAAATGAATAATGGCCTAGACTGTGACTTGTTTTTAATGTGGCAGGTTTCATCATGTAAATTTAAGCAAAGATCGTATAGTAGCGCCGCTACGCGATAGCGGCGCTATACGATCTTTGATTTAAGGGATAAGCTCAGACAAGTTCATGATTTTACAGGTATTTTCAGAAATGGCGGAGTAATACTTGTTCCTCTAAAAATATAGTGCCTTTAATGGTGCAAAGCCTTAAATTAATGGCGTTATGGCTAGCAGAATACCCCTATGTAGCCCGAGAATAGGCCTATTAGAGATCGAGGTGAAAAGGATAATAGCATGTATACTTACATGAGAAAAGTGGTGATGAGGACCGAGCAGTAGCTACGGCTGAACAGCGATTGAATACACTTGGTGTTGGTAATCGCAGACGAGGATGTAGCTGGTTGGTTTGATTATGAACGTAGTCTTGGCGTAGTGTAGTGAAGTAACCTGACCAGGAAACAAATCGATAATGTCAAATGCAATGCTGTCCAACCACGCATGCGCAAGAGTTTAAAGCACTATTCTTTGTTAATTTCAATACTGAAATCCGTACACGCCTTGTACAGAACTAGAAACCAAGTGGTCCACTGATTATATTTACATAATAAAAGATTATGCAGACTCCAAAAAGTACATTATTGTGTATTGTGCCCCAATTGTATAAAGCTGTCGGCAAAAGGTCCAGGGTTCGAATTTTTTTTTTTTTTTTTTTTTTT